CCCCGCCACCCCTCACGTGGGGGTGGGGATTTTTTTGGTTTTTTTTTTTTTTCCAGGGCTGAAAGGGGTATGGGGGACCCCCGGGAGAAAAAGGTTCTGGAGCCTTTCTTAAGTTTGGAGGGGTCCCGGGGCTTGGTGGACCCCCAGGGGGGGGGTTGGGGGGAAAAGGACCATGCCTTCCCGGTTTGAAAGCAGGTGTTTTTCGTTTGCCTAAAAGGTAGGGGGGGGTTTTTTTTTTTAGAATGGACAGTTTTAACGGGTGGCCCAAGGAAAAGGTTCAGACCCCATTTTTTAGGGGGGAAAAACAGCAGGACCATTTCTTGATAAAGGGTTCCAGAAGGGGTTCCCCGGAGGGGGGGGGGGGGGGCGCAGGAGTTGCAAGACGGTGTCCTGCTCGGGTGTGTGTGTGCGTAGACACGACACGAAAGCCCAACCTTGGAAAAATTATGGGCGTCTTGGCGTTTTTGTTTGTTTGTCGGCGGCGAGAGCAGGTGGAGGAGAAGCTGTCGGACATCGCGAGGTTTAAGAAGGGCGAGCCAGACGCGGCGGAACTCGCGGCGGCCAAGGAGGCCCAGGACAAGCGCAACAAGAAGGTGGGAGAGCTCACTCATTCATTCATTCCCCTCCGTAAAATGGTTACATCCAATTTGGTTCTCTTAAAGGTCCTCGGATCATCCTTCTTTTTTCCGTGATTTTTTTCTGTTTTCACTAACCCACGGCCGTGTGCTGCCAGGTCTAGTCCAGTCCGCATTCAGAAGACTAGAGAAGCAAAAAACTTCGGTTTCCTTCCCGACGGCGTCCCCGTTAGCTTCCCCGCCTGCAATAACTGTTCCCCCACCTTCCATTCATGTTCCTTGCAGCCCCCGTCGCATGACCACAACCCCCCACCATGCGCGCGCGCCTTCAAAACCAATTAGGCTGAAACCAAGGCCGCCATCAAGGAAGCCAAGAACGCCGGGGTGCACGGGCACTACGGCCCCGGGGCGGGGGGGGCTGCAGCGGGGGCGGCGGGAGGAGGGGTACCCCTACCCTCTCGAGGGCGAGGGGCGGAGGTGGCCCTCAAGTACGGGGGCGACGTGGTCGGCGGAAAGTCTGCAGGAGGGGGAGGGGGAGGGGGGGGGGGTGGAGAGGAGTCGCCGAAAGAGAAGGAGAAGGAGGAGCAGGACGAGGACGAGGCGCAGCTGGACCCGGAGATTCTCGCGCTGATCGAGAAGGAGGTCGGGGGCGCCGCAGGAGGAGGCGGCGGCGGCGCTGGAGGTACCGTACACCACCCGCCACCTTAGTCGGAGGACGATAAAATGTTCGGTTTGGGGGGTTGGTGGTGGCAATGTTTTGTTTTTGCTCGAAGTTTTTCGTGTAGAAGCATGAAGGGCTTTTTGTCCGCGTTGCAGCCAGTTTCGACCGGTAGTTTTTTTTTCGGTGGTCTTCTCTCCTGCCTTTCGCGCCGGCATATGGATCAATAACAGCGTGTTGTTTTTGTGTGTTGTTTTTGGGCTGCTGCCTTTTTCTCGGTGGTTCTCGACTACCATTCACACCGGCATATGGATCAATCACAAGGTGTTTTTTTTATGTGCGTTTTGCTTTTCGACTTTGTTTTTGCAGGCAGCGAGGACGACAGCTCTGACGAGGAGTCCGACTTCACAGACGATGGCGAGGACGAAGACGACGGGGGGGACGACGACTCAGACCACAAGAACGCGGATGGTGAGCCCCTCCCTGCAAGCATTTCGATTGTTGGTCTCTCTCGCTTACGGTGGTGGGGTTGCTTAATTGCCTGCCTCGAGAGAGAGATAGCTCAACGAGGTAGGACACTTGGTGTTTACCCAAATCTGCTGTTTTTTTTCTTTCGCCATCACCGTGTAACGCGAACGTGTTTGAGACCTCCATTGCGCCCACATCTGCTTGCACTCCTCTCTCTTTTCTCCCCCTCGCGCGTTTCCCGGCGTTAGATGTTTTGTCGCACCCGGCTACATCACGTAACGGTCGCGTGCACCCAATCCCACACCCGCCGCCTACCGTTTTGTGTGTGCGCGTACACGTGTACGTAAAATTAGCTGCGCAAGCGCTTTCGGCGTCTCAGGACCTTTTCGCCGAGGACTACGGTATCTCCGAGAAGCGCAGCGGCTACAGCTACTCCCGCCTACTGCGCTACGAGCGGCGTCACCGCGCCCAACACCGGGCCAACCGGTGTGTGTGTGTGTTGTCTTGTGTTAAAGACCGTTCCGATATCTCTCCATCTAGTACCTCCCTCTGTCCGGACTGATGTGTATAGTGCCCTGTACACGGCAGCGGCAGTGGATAGCTTTGTTTCTTGCTGCCGCTGTTGTCTTGCTGTGCGGGGCATGTGTTGAGCTCTTGGGTGGGGACGGTACGGACGGGGGCTGCGTGTGCTGTTTCAGAGGTTGGTTAGGTTGCATCTATGCTATGCGGAGAATATGCCCCCCCGTTTTTTGTAGGCAGACCCTCCCTGCTTGTGAGTTTGCTTGAAACACTGCCATCTCACGGCCCGATGACCTCTAGACTTGAGTCGTGGCTCCGAAATACAAAGTAAGAGACAAAGCGAACGTCTTTTAGCGGACCCCCCTCTTGCACCGGAATAAGAGGGTACCCAACTACGCTACAGCGGGTCGAGTCGGTGACAACCGATTTCAACCCTCTTGTACCGGAGCCCACTCTCGTGAGGTACATCGGAGCCACGACTGCTGTGGAGGGAATTAAAGCACAGCCGCGGTTCGTTTTGTAACCGTCATTGGTTGCTGCCCTCCGCTCGCCCAAGACCCATCCCTGCGCGTACAAAACAGTAGCGGTAATAACCCTGTCTCCCACCAGCCGGTGCCTTCGGCCACAGCAGTCCTTGCGTCTCGTAGCAGTATTTTTTTTGTGCGGCGACAGCATCAAGGTAGTGTGCGGTGTTGCAGCGACAAACTCGTGCCCGCGGCAAACGACTCTAACGGTGCGGCGCGTTGCTTGCTTGCGTATCCGTGCACGCGGCGAAGGATGGCCGAGGTGGACGCGGCAAAGAAGCGCAAGAAGCCCAAGAAGAAGGCCGACGGCACCCCGGTGGAGGAGGAGAACGGTAAGAATGAGGGCGGCGGCCCCGGTACGGGTAATGGGCGTTTGGGGGGGGTCCCTTTCTCTCTCTCTCTCTCTCTCTCTCTCTCTCTCTGTGTGTCTCTCTCACTCTCTCTCTCTCTCCGTGTCTCTCTCTCACTCTCTCTCTCTCTCCGTGTCTCTCTCTCTCTGTCTCTCTCTCACACTCTCTCTCACTCTCTCTCTCTCTCTCTCTCTCTCTCTCACTGTCTCTCTCTCTCTCTCTCTCTTTCTCTCTCTCTGTCTCTCTCTCTCTCTCTCACTCTCACTCTCACTCTCACTCTCACTCCCTCTCTCTCTCTCTCTCTCTCTCTCTCTCTCGCTCACTCTCCCTCTCTCTCACTCTCTCTCTCTCTCTCTGTGTGTCTCTCTCTCTCTCTCACTCTCTCTCTCTGTGTGTGTGTCTCTCTCTGTCTCTCTCTCTCTCACTCTCTCTCTCTCTCTCACTCTCTCTCTCTCTCCGTGTCTCTCTCTCTCTGTCTCTCTCTGTCTCTGTCTCTCTCTCTCACACTCTCTCTCACTCTCTCTCTCTCTCTCTCTCTCTCTCACTGTCTCTCTCTCTCTCTCTCTTTCTCTCTCTCTGTCTCTCTCTCTCTCTCTCTCTCACTCTCTCACTGTGTCACTGTGTCACTGTCCCTCTCCGTGTGGTTGTTGAAACGAGCGGGTGTCTGGGTTGTTGCTGTTGTTGCTGGTGGTGGTTTTGCTCGTGCGTCAGTCAGTCAGTCAGTCAGTCACAATGAATTATTCTTGTTGGCGTTCCAGTTTAGTGTAGTGTCGCCCCTGGCGCCTAGAGATGGTCTTTTATCTCTTTTGACGTGTACTTTCCGTTCCAGGCAGTCATGCTGCGTGTGGTCCTGGGTGTGTAACGGACTTCACTAGCTTGTTTCCTTTCTGTTTTTCCGTGAATCGAGCTATAATGACCATCCTCACCTTGTCTCGTCTCGCCTTGTTTTGTCTATACTCCGGAATAATTACGTATTATTTATATTGTTTTATGTATATGTAACTGACCATCCTCGCCTTTCCTTTCGTTTCCGCCCGCGCGTCCTATGTTGCTGTCTTCGATGCCAGGCTTGTCGCGCCCGTACCTCGGCTCCTCCCTGCGCGACAGCCCCACGTACGAGGACTTCGGCGACCCGCTAGAGGCTCGGAGGCAGAAGCGGCGGGAGGATCGGGAGCGGGCGGGGGGCTCCGCCAGAGACGCCGCGGGGAACGGGGCCGGCCGGGGGCGGCAGTACATCTCCTCGTTCGAGATCTCCGACAGCAAGGTGTTATGTATTAGTGTGTGTGTTTGCGTGTGTGTGTGTGTGTGTGTGTGTGTGTGTTTGTGTGTGTGCGTGTTTGTGTGTGTGTGTGTGTTTATCTCATTAGCTTCGACCGCGCTACATGTAGCCGGCTGACCAATGAAAATACGTCAGTGTCTGTGTGTTGTGTGTTTTTAGTGGTCCCCGTGCATCCTCGTGTGTTGTTGTTTTCCGTGTGTGTTGATGCTGAAAAGCGTGGTTGGTTCGTGTGCTTGTGTGGTCCGGACACGCTCTTTTCGTGCACCGATTTTGTCATCGCAGACGGCAGGTTGCTGCTTTGTTTTCTTGCCTGTCGAAACCAAGAGCTCTTTGCACGACTTTCGTGGGAGCCCCACCTCCTCCTCAACACCCGCGAGTGTTTGGTCCGGGTGGGAAGCGAGCTACCAAGATACTCTGTCAAGCCCAGGCGGTTCATTTTCACGCGCGCGAGAGCCCCCCCGCCCGCGCGCGCGCCCACCGCACGAAACCTCCTCCTTAAAGCCGTTCGTTTGTCGCTGGCGTCGTGACGACCTGATTTTTCTTTGCTCCACCGTCAGGCTGGCGGCGGCAAGAGCGGTAGCGGTAGCGACGGGTCTCTGCTCGGTTCGGAGAGCGAGGGAGACGAGGGGGGCGGGAGCGGCGGAACTCACCTGGTTCTCCTTCAAAACTTCTTCCCCACACTGGCGGACACGTTGCGCAGACACCTAGAGGTATTTCTTGAGGGGGTGTGGGGGGGCGCTCACATGCATTTTTTTTTTTTTTCTGGTTTCCGCGAGAATGCGGTGCGTACAAGTCATGCGCATGTTTTTTTTTTTGCCCCTTCTGTATTGTCGAGAGAGCTATTGCAGCTGACGTAACCTCTGCTGTGTGTGTGCGTGTGTATGTGGCTCTGGCTCTTCCCGCTGTCACGTCAGTGTCGAGGGTGAGCGACTGATGTTTCTCTGAGTGCGGGATATAGGGTGGCGCAATGTCGTCTTTTGGTCATCCGGCAGAGAGATAGATGTGTGGTAGAAGTTTACGTCTTTTTATTTTTGTCTCTTTTCGCCCCTTTACATCTCCATACCCGCTTGTCCTTGCTCCCCCCGGCTCCCCTAGCTTTTGTTTCTGTCTCTTTCCGCCACTCCAACTTCTGCATGCCCGCTCATCATTGCTCCCCCACCCACCCCCTGCCTTTCATTTTCTGTCTCTTCTCCCCCAATACACCTACATGCCCGCTTATCTTTGCCCCCCTTCCCCCCCCGTCCCCGTTCCAGAACCTGGTCCGGTGAGAACCCGGCTCGCTCCATCCTGGCTTTGTAGGGATGCGAGGTCGATGAAATAAGGACTACGGCATGCACGGCTAGGATTACACCCCCCCACACCC